AAAACTAGAAAATACGTTCAGTCCTGCTTATGGTGCAACTGTCAAGGCTAATCATTTTAGAATGATGCCCATTTATGGAATCTCCTCAAATAAAGTCCAACTTGTTAGTCATCTTGCCTTCCAAAAATACAAGGATAGCTCAGAAGAGGGAATAGAAATGGGACTTCTAGCTACACTGTAAATACCAAAAATAATCTCAAATCTATAATTTAATAATTCAGTTCTCTTAGAATGTGGTAATGATACAAAAATTCAAGGTTTTACAAGATATTGTAATTTCTGAAAGACAAAACGTGAATCTCAACACAGTTGATTCTATGGCAACACACAGATTTTGAATTGGTAATAACACTATATTTTGGCTATCTGTTGACTATAGAAGATTACTTATTTATAAAATAAGAACTTGGGCAGAAAAGCTAAAATTAAATAAAGGCAACCCTCTTTATATTGCTACAACAGCTTCTCATTTTGAAACTTGTCCCTTAAAGGAAAAACATAATTACAAGTTATTTTTTGGGACAGCAGATAATCATCTACTTAAACGATTATCTACAGAAAGTCTCTAAACATTTTGATCATAAACCATATCAATAAAATGTTTAGCGTATTGCCAATACATGAATACCTACTTATGTAAAGCACACCGTGTACTTTTTACACACATGAAAACACATGCAAAAATATTTTAAAGGCATGTCCTAGCTTTGGAGATGGCTATCAAGAGAATCATTAAAATTAAAGGGACCCATGGGTGAACAATGTCTTCTATCAGTGTTAACAATTTCAAATAAATAATGCTTGATATAATATTCTCCAAATACAGGAATCTAACCAACACAGCTGTTTCTCCTGCCTGGTGGTCCTTATTGTGGTATGAGAAGTCTGGTCCAGTCCATCCTAACCATTCTTCTACCAATGAGAAGGGGAATGAGGCACTGGAGTGGGGAGAAGGGTCAAGAAAAAAAAAAAGAAAAAAATGGAAACAAAGCTTTTGTAAATAACGGGGTAAGAGGGGTTGAAGGGAGGTGAGGGGAATGCAAAAAAAAGAAGCAGCAAAATACACCGTGTCCAGGTACAAATTCTCTGTGATGTGATTATTATGTATATCAAAAATGTACCAATAAAATTTTTTAAAGAAACGCAAAATCATCCTTCTACCACCAAGCATAGGGTCACAAACCATCTGCACAACTTAAAAGTATAAGGTAAGAGTTGATGCTCAAGTGGATTATACCAACAGCTTATAAATAATCTCACCTTAAAAAATACCAAGACAAAGGAATACATGTACTGTCTGGTTTTCTGAAATGCCTTTAAGAATATGCTTCATTCATGTTGCTCCTGCACAATTCCTGGGTCAGTTTCCAGGAGCCCCACAAACCTGTACTCTACTTCGACCTGCACACTCGCATGAACAGAGCAGTCTGCCTTAGAAGGGCAAACTGCAGAACCCCTCCAGAAGTGGGTTCCCAAACTCTGCTAAAACATGGCGTTGCACGAACAGGTCTTGACACACGCCTACAATCCCAGCAGATGGACTGCCACTCAACCTTCAAATTCCTTCTTCCTGAGCTCCTTGCCACTTTTCACTTTCTACCCAACCCTAGACCCATCTGTTCACCCTTCAGTATCAGGGGTCCCTGTAAGCATAAAGAATTTCCAAACGCGATGGCACCCTCAATATTAGAAAGGTACATGTCAAAAAAAGGCTCATATACAAGTCTTTAGAAATGAACTCCAAAGCCGGGCATGGTGGTACACGCCTGCAATCCCAGCATTCAGGAGGCTGAGGCAGGAGGATCACTGAGTTTGAGACCAGCCTGGGCTATAGAAAGAGTTCAAGGCCAGCCTAGACTACATAAGGAGATCCTGTCTCAAAAAGAAGAGGTGAATTCCAGAATGTTCCTTAAGATTATTCCATCATAATAGGATGCCTTGAAAAAAACATTTTAGAATCCTATGAATGGAAACTTCATCATTTGTTATTCTCGTTTGACACACCGATCCATGCAAAAAGAGACTGATACACTAAGTTAAAACCAAAACAAAGAACTGGGGTTGATTATTACTACACAAATGGTCTGTTGAGGAAATGACATCATTCCTATTAACACATCTAACCTTATTCATCCAGGAGCATTGCAAAGTTACAAAATATCTTAACCATGTTCTTCATCTTGTCATTCAAAGAAGAAAATATGAAGATCTATAAATACAACCAGAAATTGTAATTTACAGAGATTTGGTTTTTTGTCTCATTCATTAAATGACTGAAGGCTTGTTATGCAGCTCAGTCTAATTAGTACTAAAATCTATTTTACTGTAAAAGATGAATACTGTTACACTATACTCAAAACAGGAAAATAAACCAGCTATATTTCAACACCAGACATATATAAAAGTTCAACTGCAAAGACTAAGTCTAAACTATTTGCAATCTGTGTATCTTCAGTTTTAGGTGATGTGAAACACATTTTGTGTTGTGTTACGCTTTGTTTTGAGATGTGGTCTCATTGAGTCCAGGCCTCAAACTGATGATCGTCTTGCCTCAGCCTTCCAAGTGCTAGGGCTATACGCATGTACCAGCATGCCCCGCTTTTGAGATCCCTGAGCTACATTTCTGAAGTCTCCTGTACATGGATAAAACTATTGAGAAATTCTTTCTATATAGCTATTAAGAACATTTTATCCCATCATCTGAAATAGAAGGGAAGGGGGACAAGAAGTATCTTTAAACATCAATATGCAAAATATAAGCTTTACTAATATTTTGTAAAGAAAAGACCCTTGAGGCACTAAAAATCACCAAGGAAAAGGTCATTTGTTCCTAAGATTAAGATATGTGGAAACCATTAGTTATTAAATACTAGACAACAGGAATACTGATTTCTTTTAATTTGAAAACCCATTCCATAATGGACACCTACACAAAACAAAATTAATTACTTGCAATATGTGAGTTATGGTAGCATACAGAAACTACTGGTGCCAACTGTAACAAAATCATTTTGTGCATAGGGTGGTCTTTCCAATAAAGGATACACTATTCCCTTTCCAAATGAGAGGTAACAGTCACATTATCCTGTGTGAACTACCCCAATATTCACCATGCAGTCTACATCAAGCCTTGCTTAGCATTACAGGAGACAGCCTTCCAAGGAAATAATTTTTAAAACTATCTGTTAAAACTGAGAAATCAACATTCCTCAAAGTTATTGCCAATTGTGACTGATTTCTAGGGCCCACAGCAACTAATCATTTTGAAAGGAGTCATCCACTCTGAAAGGATTTCTAAGAAACTATTTTCTTTAACTCAGGCAGTGTAAAACCTTCCTAAATTGTATCATATCGGAAGGCACACACAACAGGTATAAATGACTACATGGAAGCCTGGCACACACCTGCATGTGTGTACGCAGCACACCCTTAAGTATTTTTGTCCAAATCGCTAGGCAGAACATTCCCCAGAAGCAGTGAACAAGAAATATCAGACAGCTACTGTACCGTGGTCATAGGCTGCTTAATTGTCTGGGGAAGCAAGGTTAAAGGCACAGGAAACAGCTGGATGCTAGGCCTGAGTGATGTCTGCCTTTTAAAGAGGAACTTAGTAAATAGCTACTCACCTGCTAGACATCACCCTCAAATCTAAAGTAATAATATAGTAAGTTCCCTTACTAAATTTTAAAAGTAGTCTGATGTCAAGACCTTGAAATAAAATTCTCTGAGAGAAGGCTATTTGAAAAAAGGAAGTTTTAGGTACTCAAATGTTTCCCTCTGGTGTCTACAAGTCACCCTCACTCTGCCTCAGGCCTGTGAGGAGTATTCGAAGCCGCACCAGGTACTGAGTGTCAAAGGCACTCTCTGAGGGTGTACAGTCCGCAGTCAGTACTAGGCTAAAACCTGTTTAAAAAACTAGCCTTGTTTGTATCACAGACTCAAGCTTGAAAAAATGAGGCTTTTCAAAAAGTAAAACCGTAACAAATGCCAAGAGCAGTCCATGTGTTATTGTGGGTGTAAGAACTAAAACTGCCAAGAATGGCCTGTCAGTGTACATGGACACCATGTAGATTCTAAATACTTGGCATGTTTAGGTGTAGCTCAGTATACTTCGTACAATTTAGAAAAAATGTAATCTTACCAGTAGGAAAAATGGTCTTATTTATTTGGGATTACTGACTGAAATTACTGAATTTAAGTAATTTAAATTGTACAATGTATTTCTAATGTGAATGTTTATATATACTGTATAGCAAAAGTCATTACTATATATGGTAAATTTAACTGTACAGCCAAACTCAAAATTCTCCACTTTCAATTTCCATTGAAATATCACTTGTTATCCTCCAAAACCAAAAGATCACGAAGTCTTTATTACACGGGGTGGGATGGTTTTTAACGTGTATTACAGCATTTTCAACATTCCCTTAGGTTCTTAGAATTTATCTGAAATATGTATGAAACGAGAAAAAGTCAGCACTTCAACTTTTGAGAATAAAAGTTCATACACATACCTTTTGTTGAATTCCAGCTTAAGGGATTTTTATGTAAATCTTGCAGGTGATGAAAAGCAAAAAGCAACCAATCTCTCTGCAGTGATTAAAGACTACGGATCACCTGCCCCAGGATTTTCTAAACAAGGGCAAACCCATGGGGCAAAACTGGGTTCTCAAAGACCACAATGGAACATGTTCATCTTCACTTCAACAGGAAAGCAAACAGTGTAATCCTTTAAGTACCACTTTTTCTGGAAAATGTTACCTTTGTCTCTTCATTTCATGAGATCATTAGCCTGTGAATGTGTCCATGTTTTGAATCTAGATCTTAAAAAAGCAGGTTACCTGTTTCCTCTAAGGCCTAAGTATGTATACAGAGATCACCTTCATCCCTCAAGTGTTTTTCTGCAGCATGATCAGAGCGCAAGTGACATTAACATAGCCTATAGAATCTGTCTAAGAAAAAGATGTAGCTGAACCTCTATAATCATGACAAGAGATTGATTAAAATGCCAAGATAAGAAACAATTTATTATAGAGAGAAGAAAAATTTCTCATCCAAAATATAGAAATCTGTACAACTTTGCCACAATCAATATACATGAACTGTACAAATTTACACCAGTTCATAATTTACCAAATAAAAGATGACTAACAAAGTTCACAAAATAGATGGTGGTTTGTGGAAAAGACTTTTACCCAATTAAGTACAAGGAAAGTTACAAACCAGACCTCCACTTTCTAAAAATAAGAAGTTTACTCAGTCTTAGAAAACTACAAGCTAGCAAATGTACAGAGAGAGCTGGCTGGTGCTAACACCACAGTTGAGACAGTGTCTTTTTAAAGCCTGTTGCCATGGCAGATTCTGGTCACTTGCTACTTTCAAAGCCAAAAACACAATACAAGGTCTGACCGTTTCCGCAGGTCATGCTTACTAGTTTGTCTTTATGTACATTTATACATATTAAGTGCTAGGTAAAAGTCTTGTCATAAAATTTCCAGTACTACCATGTTTAAAACAAACTTTCCTACTGAGCTGCCGAAAAAGGTTATCCATAACAATTTTCAAGTGTAATAGTGCAAATCCCTCCGCAAGATCTACTGCAGAGAAAGGTGTTCTGAAATACGTATGCTTAGAGGGACTAATGTTAAAAATTTAGGTGTGTGGGAGAAACTGAAACCAGCCTAGAACCTCGCTCCCTAGCAAATAGTGATCATATACTTGGACTCACAGGCTATTAAATCATTGAAAGGTACTGTCCAAACTATGGCACTGTCACTTAGAAAAAAATTTTTTACCACTCTATCTTGTGCCAGATCTTCACAGCTGTGACATGGTTTAAATTCCATAATCCATCCCCAAGAGGAGCCCACCCAAAGCAAAAAATCAAATTTATCCATCCATTATAAGATGATCGATCCACAGACCATATCTTAACCTGATACAGTCATCATATTGTAGTTTTTCGAAGGGCTTGTTCTGCCCAAGAGAAGTTCCTCTTTACAGCTGATCCTGCTGTCTACCATTTGGACGTTGGTGCCGGTTTGAGTGGTACCTCCTGCTGGCGAGGCTTCGTACAGCACACAGATGGAGCCATCCTCTCCGATTCTGTAGGACACTTCATAGGGGTCAACCCAGAGTGTGAGTTCACTTGGGAGAAGCCTGAACAGCTCCTGACTGCTCAGTCCGATCCGCTGTGCTGCTTGTCCAATCAGAGGATCCATTTTATGGTTGATGCGAATACAGCGGTAACCTGATCCCTTGCACGGCTTCTCTGGGAACCAGTGATGTTTATAATGTTCTGTGGAAGAGCAGAACAGAGAAACAATGCTCAGATCGCGCCGCCGGCTCCTGCGAGGAGGGAAAAAGGAGAACTCCCAACTTTTAAAGCCGTCCAGGACGGCATCCGCCGCGGCGCCGAGCCGTGCGCCTCGCAGGATGGAGCGCGGGCAGGGTCCGGAAGAGGGCCGGGCGGCGGGGGTCGGGCCGGCTCGAGGAAGCCCCGGCCGCCGCATCCCGGAGCGGGCGCAGCCTCCTCGGCCGGCCGGGCGCCGACGGCAGCGGGCGGGAAGCTGCCTACTTTCTCACCCCACCCGGGCGCACACAATGGGAGTTTCAGGCTTGGGAGGCGACCAGCGCCACCGGACTGCTCTCCCCGAAGGGAAGGAAAACAAGAAACCCTAAACCGCGCTCTGGGCAGGGCCGGGACCGTCCCGGTGACAAATCCGGTGATTAATGGGCAGGGGCCGGCGGCGCGGAGACTCCCGTCCGTCCCAGCCCGGCCCGGCCCGGCCGCCAACCCCGCAACGGTCGAGGCGGGGGAGGGGGCGTCGCCCCCGCCCCGGCCCCGCGGCTCCTTTGTCCCCTCGCCCGCCGGCGGCCCTCGGACCGCGGCCCCCGCCGCAGTTCCTTTGTTGTGCGCGTTTTCCTCGCCCCTCGGCGCGGCCCGCACCTCGGCCACCCGCACCCGGGGGAGCGCAGCCCCGCGCGGAGCGACCCGAGCGACCGCCGCGGCTCCGCGGCCCCGACGGCGGGGACCCCGCGGCCCCGAAGCCCCGCGCCCGCTCACCTGCCAGCAGCTCCTGCAGGCTCTGGCTGAAGGTCTGGAGCTGCCGTTCGCTCGTGAGCCCCTTGGTGCGGAGGAACTTGGAGATGAAGGACACGGCGGCGGCGATCTCGCCTATCATGGTGGCGGCCCGAGTGTAGAAGGGATGCATGGGGGCGGCGGGCGGGGGCGGCCCGGGGCGGCCGGGGCTCGGCCCCGACGGCGGAGCGGCCACCCCAGACTCCCTCGCAGACCAGACGGCTGAGAGGAAGGGGAGGGTGTGAGAAGCGGGCGGCTACTTTTTTTTTTCTTTTCTTTAGAGTTTAAAAAAAGTTATTTTCGAGACAGGAGGCGGCAGGAGAGAGGAAGAGACGAGCGATGGCGGCCTGGTCACATCGCTCGGACCTCCCCAGCCGCCTCCGCCTCCAGCTCCGTAGCCTCCGAGGATCCCAAGAGTTGCATTTCCAGCTCCGGGGGGTGCGGAGATGCCGCCGCCGTGCAGCAGGTTTTATAGCTCCGTGGAAGGAAGTGACGTTGTCGGAGCGTGACGGCCGACTCTAGCCAATCCGGAGATCGCACCATTGTGACGCAAGCAGATTCGGTGCCGGAGGGGGCGGGAAAAAGGACCCAGGGGGCGGATCCAGCGACCGAGCCGAGAGGGAGGAGCTGACGTAATCCGCTTGTAAACAAATAAACCCGGAGTGGCGGCCAGAGCCTGGGCTGCCGGGTCTGGAGAAGGCGGAAACCGAGGGTGCGCGTGTGAAAGCTCCGCCCCTTGTCGAAGCCCCGCCCCCGCCTGGGCAAGTCGAGGCCCTGGGCCAGCTCATCCGCGGCCGGAGCGCTCTGCCCCGAGGGTGCGCGGCGGATGCTGGCGCTGTGTGGCCGGGGTGTGGCGTGCCGCACGTCCCGAGCTCTGCCTCCGTGCGCGATCCGCGTCCACAGCCCGGCCGGTCGGCTGCGGTGCGGGACCCGGGGGCGGGAGGCCCCTCCGGCCGGGGACCGAGCCCTGGCCGAGCGCGGAGCGGGAGCGGGTCCCGCCAAGTTTGAGCCGCAGGAGAAGTAGGGGAGTGAGGCCGCTGGCGGCTGCTGGCCCCGTGACGCCAGCAGTCAGAGGAGAGCCGTGGACTGCTGAGCCTAGCTTCACGCGGGTAGGAAAGCCAGCGGCTGAAGACGTGAGTCCTGAGAGGAGCTTAGGAAAGAAAAAAAAATCTACACATGCATTTTAAAATGTGCATGCTCAGAACCAGAGTGGTTTTATTTCCTGATCCAAATACCCAGACTTAGACTGCTGTTTATGACAATGGAAGCGGGGAAAAGCGCTAAGATTGGAAGCTTGTTGACAGTATTAAATGTAGACATGTGAGTTTACTTAGAAGCCTACTTGTAGGCACTTTTGGAGACGTACTGGTAGGAAAGCGTGAGCCTGCTGGAACGATTGACCTAAAACAGCGTTAATACGGCTCCATTAAGGAGGAGGAAAGCAGAGATGAAGGGAGGCGGGCAGACGGAGAGAGCAGACCAGAAGCAGAAGCTGAACTCTGCCAGATGGAAATAAATATCCTGAGCTTAACCGGTCGTCAATATTGCAAAACATAACGCTTTTTTAAAAAAAATACCGAGCCACAGGGTATGGGCAAGAAACAAAAGTGTGACTTGCTATAAAAGCAGAAGGAGAGAAGCAGTTATTTTTCTGTGTGCCTAAATGAAATAACAAACGATTTGGAAGGCTAACTTCTAGATTTATTTTTTCATTAATGCACCTTCAGGTAGTTGCATGTAATATAAATGCTTTAAAGATAGTTATTTTAAGGCACTGACTTTAGAAAGCGTTCCTTTTGTTTGAATAGATGTATTCAAAATAATGGTAAATAAGGTGTTTGTTTGTCCCCCTCCCCCCAAAAGCCCTAGAATAGGACCTGGGACCGCCTCCTCGCCCCACCCACCCGTAATCAGATGTTCCTTTCCTGCACGTTATCAGTCATGTGCGCCTAGATTAGGAATCAAGGGAAGGTTTATCTCTTCCAAGCCTGATGGCCGATGAACTCATTGACAAAACAATAATAATGAAATGAACAAACATTTTAGGATTTAAACAGACTTCTCCCCAACCTGTGCTCTCTATCAGCAGGGCCCCTTTGGGGATTTGCCCAGGGATGTAGCTAAAGGGTAAAGCATTCGCTTTAGCATGTAGGAAACCCAGGGTTCAATCCCTAGCACTGCAAAAAGAAAAAGATCACAGGATTCCCCTAGCCCTTTTTTTTTTTTTTTTTTTTTGAGATAGCATCTCTGTCTATAGTTAAGACTGGACTTCAGTGCTATTTATAGCCTTGCATGTCCTGGAATTCAAGATCCTCCTGTTTCAGCCTCCCTAGTGATAGGATTATAGGCACGTGCCACCACACTCTGCTCCTGGTATCTCTTCGGAAAGCCTTACAAAGTTGGCTGGAGTTTAACTCACAGGCTCCTAGAGAGGTTTCCCACTAGTGGTGTTTTCTAATTGTACGTTTCTGTTTTCCACTTTAAATCATCTTTTAAGAGACATGTGGTTTAGGAAGTTACCTGAGAGATCTAAATGTATTTTGTTGTTGTTGTTTACTTGAATCCAGAATCTTGCTGCGTTGCCAAGGCTGGCCTCCATCTCCAGATCCTTCTGCCTCAGCCTCCCAAGTAGCTTGGATTACAGGCTCAGACCACCACACTCTGTTTACCAGGGGCGGCTAAGAGGTACTCAGAAAAGAAAAAAAGGGAAGTAAATACTGGCCCTAGAGGTAAGCCATAGATAGTACACAATTTTAACTGCCAGTGGATAGTTTTCAATTTGTAGACATAAATATATTTCGTAACAGAAGTTTGATTCAGGACTTTCCCATCTAGGAAATAAGCTGGTATTTTCTGACAGCTTCTGAATTATTTTGAATATGACACTTTCTTGTAGTGTTGAACTGAAGTGCAGGGCTGTTCCAATTATTTACACACCCAGCTCCTAGCTCTGTGTCTTTAGGCAATTTACTCAATTCTTAAATTCTCTGCTAGACAGCACACCCCAGGACAACTTTTAGAGACTGTTTATCCCTGTGGACAAGACAAAGGAAGCCCTGGGATATATTAGCTGTTTATATTATCAGGCAATTTGATTGTTACCAAATTCATTTCTAAAAAGTTTCCAGTTGAAACATGAAAAACAGATTTTTTTCTTTTTTTGACACAGGGTCTTGCTGTGTAGCCCAGGCAGACCTCAAACTTGTGGCAATATTCCCGCCTCGGCCTCCCAGAGTACTGGTGTCGTAGGCATTTACCACCATTCCTGGCAAAATATTAAAATCTTGAGCCGGGTGTGATGGCACATGTCTGTAATCCCAGAACTCAGGAGGCCGAGGCAGGAGGGTTGCAAGTTCGAGACCAGCCTGGGCTAGAAGGTGAGCTCAAGGCCAGCCTGAACTGCACAGCAAGACCCTGTCTCAAACAGACAAAAAAAATAAAATAAAATAAAATCTTAAAAATTCTGTCAGAACTAATTGACTAAATGAACCTGGACGGGGTGTGGTGGCTCATGCCTGTAATACGAGAACACTGGAAGACTGAAGCAGGAAGAGCACAAGCCTGAGCGCCAACCTAGACAAGTTAGCAAGACCTTGTCTCAAAATACAAGAACAGAAAGGGCTGAGATGTAGCTCAGTTGGAAGGGCCTAGGTTTAGTCCCCAGAACTCCCAAAAAGAAACAGAAAGTGGGTTTCAGAATAAGTTGACAAATAGAAGTGCAGATGTAAGGCACTTGACAATGGCACCATTTAGAAGTCACGAGGGTCCTCCTGCCTCAGCCTCCCAAGTGCTGGGATTACAGGCATGCACCACCACCCCTGGCTGTCATAGACATTTTCAGTATTGTGTTTTTTATCGAAAAAAGGAGAAGGAAAAATACCTGTGTAGGGTTGGAGAATGGACTTCTGTATTCATAGGCTAATAAAATTCAGGGATCAGTGAAGTTGAAAACCTTTTATTTTACCAGAAAATAATTTCAATCACATTATAATCTACTGTCACTATCCCTGGGGGAGGAAAAGGCATTTTAGCAACCCAAGTGTAGGAAAGGTGTCAATATCCAAACAAAACCTGGGGGTTTGGGTTGTTTGTTTGGTTCGGTTTTTTGAGACTGCCTTACTTTTTAACCCAGACTGGCCTTGAACTCCCAGTCTTCCTGCCTCAGATGCCCAGTGCTAGGGACCTGTGTGCCTGGTGGCATAGCAGTTGTTTCTGTGAGACGGAGATCAAAAGTAGGGCAAGAGGCGTGCTAGGCAAGCGCTTGAACACTGAGCTACATCTTAAGCCCCGTCGTGGAGTGCAGTTTTTTTGTGTTTTGTTTTATTTTGTGTGTGTGTTTTTAAGACAGGGTGTCTCTGTATAGGTCATGCTAGCCTTGAACTCACTACATAGCCCAGGCTGGACTTGAACTCACAGCGATCCTCCTGCCTCAGCCTCCCAAGTGCTGGGATCAGAGGCATGTACCACTGCGCCTGGCCCAATTTGGGAACTTTTAAGATGATCAGTCTATCACTATGTTAGTACTAAATTTTTTTTTTTTTTTTGTCTTTTTGAGATGGTCTCACTATGCAGTGCAGGCTGGCCTTGAGCTCACTTTGTAGCCCAGGCTGGCCTTGAACTAACAACAGTCCTCCTGCCTCAGCCTCACAAGTACTGGGATTACAGGCATGCGCCACCACGCCTGGCATGTTAGTACTAAATTAATCTACCAAGCTACTGATTTCATATTATAGTCCCAAAGTGGGCATATTACTTATTGCAGAGTGTTTGTCCACTGTGCACACAGCTGTGAGTTTGATCCTCAGCACCACAAAATGAGGGTGGGGGTGTTTCTACTGCCTGGGATACCATCTCCTTTGTGCCTTTACCTACCTACTATCTGCTCATCTTTCCTGCATCAGTGCTTCTTCTCCAAGAAAATTCCCCTGCCCCTCTACAGTCCAGTCAATATCTACCATATTCTGCATTCCCTTGCGCTGGCTCTGGTGCTTCTGGTACTTAGCATCCGGCTTGAACATCTGAAACCTGAAATCCTAGAAACTCCACAATCGGAAACTTTGGCCACCAGCATGACTCCACAAGCAGAAAATTCCATACCTCCACTCGTGTGCTGCTCGAGGGCAGAGCAAACACATGGTTTATGCAGGCCTTCTGAGCCCCTTCAGTGACAAGTCATCTTTTTCTTGCACACTCAGATCCTCCGGAATAAGTGTGTCCACAGCAGTAAGAGCATGGGTCCCATCAAGGCTGGAGATGCTGATGGCCAGTTCTGCACTGCGCCCTGCATGGGCCCAGACCTGTACACATTGCTCACTGTCTTCCTTTGTTTGGGTCATCAGGCGGTCTTTTGGTTGGCTGGCTGGTTTTCAGCTTATTCTCTGCTCTGTGATATAAAGTTGTTGAAAATGTGCAGAGACCTGAAGACCCCCTATGGGTGA